TGGGGGCTGTGTGGACCAGAGTCATCCCACACCCACTTGGACTGGGTCCTCCTGAGGCTCTGGCGGCCAGCGTTTGGGAAATTAGGTGAGGGGGGTCTGGGACGAGGGTGAGGAAGGGAACAATTTATGTCTAAAAGTCATCCTGAAATTTTCAACATATTTTTTATTTTTCAAAACAAAAGCTCTACACGTGCTGGGGGGTGGGGGTTGAACCTCGCTTTGTGGGAAATGAGTCAGACGGCCATAAAATGTGTTTTTCTGAGCTGAGGGGATTATTTTACATCTTGTGGCACGAAGACACTGAGAGGAAGCCCTCCTCCTTGTCCGTGGCAGGGCTCCCCACTTGCCAGCCTGGGCCACAGTGCCGCCCTCCCTTCCTGAGCTGGGGGCTCTCACCCTACCAGAAGAGATGGGTGCTGTGCTGCTTCTGACGGCCTCTGCCTCTGCCTCCCTGACCTCACCGTTCATTCTATTCGGCAGGACGGAGGCTGGGGAGGGAGGCAGCCTCATGGTGGGTACCGGCTTCCCCATTTATAGTTAGAGAATCTGGATGAAGTCCAGTGGACCTCGGCAGCCTCCTACCTCTCCTCCCATGGACAGGCTGGTGTGGCGCCATCCCTGGAGCAGCTGAGAAACTTACAAAAGCATCTGCAGGCCACTGGTACCCAGTGAAAGGCTTTCCTTCCCCACCGTCAAGCAGCATCCGTGAGTACAGGTGACAAGGAGTGTGAGGGCTCACCTGTTCCTCTGGAGGTTCTTCCTAAAGCCATAAGGGCAGGAGTCCTCTCCTAACCTCCCCTACGTAGCCAGCACCCCCATCCCCCCACCATACTCCTTCCCCCTCCCCCAGCTCTTGTCCTAGGGATCAGGAAGCAGAATTCCCACCCCAGGGCTGGAGGCCTCAGAAGGGCTAAGATCAAGGTATTGCAGGGGCCCACGGGGGACAGGAGCCAGTGACCCCAGAGGCCTCGGGTTATACCTCTCAGCCTCTCATCTCCCCCCCCAGGTAGGTATTGGGTGGGAGCAGTACGGGAGGGCTTCTGCCTGGAGCCCCTCTGAAGTCTCTCTTGGGACAGCTGTCCATTGCCCCGTGTGTCCCTAGCAGCCCCGCCTCCATGGGCTAGAGTCACAGATCTCAGGGATAGCCTGGAGCCCAGAGGACCTGTGTTGCCTGTGGGGAGAGGTTGCTGGTAGCCTGAGGTGGGGCAGAAGTAAGGAAGGGATCTGGGGCCTGAATCACAGCAGCTGTTGCCAGAAACCCCCCACTTGCCTCCACCAGGGTGGTGAACTTGCTTTTTCTTTGGAAGTGAGGAGTCACCCTGAGTCATCTTCACTCTCCACGGGCTCTATTTCTTTCAGGGACACCGGTACAGTGGACACCAGCTGTTTTGCCTGCCTCATTTTCTCTCATTCCAGCCCAAACACCTGGATTTCCTTGGAGGCCCTCCCTCTCCCCCCTCTCATTCCTTGCAGTATGAGTGAGGCTGGCTCCGCCTCCCAAAGGGTTTATGGCAGGGGTAAGAACATGACTCAGGATTGGCCAGTTAGTGTCTTCCATCCTCCTGGAGATAGTAGCTGTTCAGTGAGGAGCCTATGGTCCAAGAGAATCTAGTTCCAGGATTTTTGATGGAACTATTCAAAAACTGGAACTTCCCTGGTGGCGCAGTGGTTAAGAATCCTCCTGCCAATGCAGGGGACACGGGTTCAATCCCTGGTCCGGGAAGATCCCACATGCCGCAGAGCAACTAAGCCCGTGCGCCACAACTACTGAGCCCACAGCTACTGAAGCCCACGCGCCCTAGAGCCCTCACGCCGCAACTACTGAGCCTGCGTGCTGCAACTACTGAAGCCCATGCGCCTAGAGCCTGCGCACCGCAACAAAGAGTAGCCCCCACTCGCCACAACTAGAGAAAGCCCACGTGCTGCAACGAAGACCCAACACAGCCAAAAATTTAAAGAAAAAGAAACTGAAGCTCGATTCTGGGATGCTGGGTGTCTGTTTGGAGGCCTTGGGTCACTGGGAACCTCTAACAGGAGACTGAAGGCAGCACGGAGGATGGTAAACCAGGAAATGGCACGAGAGAGGACTCTTGATGACATAGTCAGGCTGCTGGATCCAGCTGTGCCTGAAGACACGTCTGGCCAAGTTTTGTCCTCCTCACTGCACTTGGCCCTATGCCTGGGTCCCTGGCACAGAGGCAGGATTTTGGGTGAGATGTGCCAGTGTCATATGCTCCTTTCTCCTTAGATCACTCAAGCTAGGATTCTGCGAGCATTTGGAAGCCTGTTACCTAGAGCTAAGGACCAGCCTGGAGTGAGGGCCCGGTCAGAGCAACCAGCACACAGCTAGGCCCGCCAACCATGGAAGCCTAGGTATGTGGGTGAGAGGGGAGTCAAGGGCAACCCATACTGCAAGTGGCTCCCCACGGAGACCTCCCTCAGGGGTAAATTTGGGAGCAGACTTCACGGGAAGTAGCTTATGATTTTCCAATTACTAAATTTAGAAATTTTGGCTTCATCTTTCTATCTGTCCAACGGGCACCTTGACTTGTCAAGGGCACTGAGAGTGGAGAGTTAGTTAATTTTGTTAGACACGTGTCGGCATTTCTAACAGTGGAATGTAAGCTCCATGAGGGCAGAAGTTCTGCTAAGCGTAGCTCATTGCTGTGCCCTGGAGCCGAGGAGGGTAACTCAGTAAATATTTGGTGAATGAAGGAAAAAGCCTGGACCCTGTCCCTCCCGTGCTTAAAATCCTCTGATGCTTTCCAATTGTCGTTAAAATATGAAAAATCTAGATTTCTTTGCCCTACTCTATAAGTAGGGTGACTGTGTCATTTATTGAATAAGCAGGGGTACTTTGTGAGTCAAAGGGGATGCTATAAACAGTTATGCTGGGACAGGGGAGTAAGCTAGGGCTGCTTCATGTCATCTGGGACGTGGGGCTGCCCCACTCCAAGGCCACCAGAGGGTTGGTCTCTGCCCAGCTCTCCGGCCTCATCTTCTGCCCCTCCCCCTCATCTGGCTCGATGACCCTCCCCTGGACCTTTGCTCTGTTTCTCTACCTGGAGAAGTCCTCTGAGTGCCTGGATCTTTCTTGTTACCTTGGTCTCCCCTGAACACTGCCTCCCCGGGGGGCCTTCCCTGACCCGCCCCCACCCCTCCACCCAGGCAACCTCTGCCATGAGGATGCATTTTGTTTTCCTCGCCTTCCCCTCGGCTCTGTGCCCGAGTGCCCAGCACAGAGGCCGGCGGGGAAGGGGCAGGAATGAACCCAAGGTGTCTGGGAGCCCATTTCTCAACATCTGTCAACCTCTGAGTAGAGGCTCACATTCCCAGCACACATCTCCAAAGTGAAAGTGAAGGGAAGGAGCTTCAACCCTGGAGCAGGGCGAGGGGGAAGCAGGAGACAGAGGGGAGGGAGGGAAAGAGCAGGGAGAGGGGATGTGGGTTCTTCCGGAACTGCACTCAGCACTGGGCCCATCACATCCACCCCAGAAATCAGATGCACTTTGACCCCCGCCGCTCGGACGCTTTTTTTTAAGAAGTGTCTGGAACCTGAATGCGACTGCGGATTGGAAAGCAACGCCTCTGGAGCTCCCAGCGGCCAAACAGAAGACACCAGATATGTTTATGATTTTCCTAATTACCTCTGTCCTCTCTGATACTGGGGCTCTATAAAATTGCCACAGCCGTGGTTGTCACTGGGCTCTGGCTCACGCTGCACGCACGCGGGTGTTTGTTTATGGAACACAGATGGCGGCAGGGCCTTCATGTGGCTCGGACACCACCCCTTTGGCTGCCACGAGGGACTGGCCCCTCTCCAGGATTCCCAGACAGATTTGCTTCTCCAGATTCTTTAAAGCAAAAAAAACCTGAGTATTGATGGTCACTCAAGGGTCCTTGGCAGAGAACCAGACTCAGCCTGGATGCTTCCAATAGAGGGATGTTAACAAAGGGACCATTCGTGGAGTGTGAACCAGGTCGAGGGAATCAAGGAGGGATGTCAAGGTCCCCAGAGACTAGCCACAGCAGCAGTGGTCACCAGCCTAGGGCTCCAGGGGTGAGGCGAGGAGTTCATGCTTCCAGAGCCCCACGAGAGCTGGACCCACGGAGGGCAGAGCACAGGCTTACCCGAGGGTGGCTGTAGTCTTGTGGACAGGCAGATGGGGTGCTGAAGCCGAAAGAGAGCAGAGATAAAACGCCCCAATCTCTCTCTTCTTCCTCCCTCTGATCTCCGGCTGGTACCTACCATTGGCCAAACCCAACAGGAAGCCAGAGGCCCGGGAGGTCCGCAGTGTGGCCCACACAGGTCAGGCTCCCAGGGCAGAGAGGAGGTGTCACGTGGACCCGAGAGCAAACGAAGAATACCCAGCGGGATCCGGGAAGGCATCCTGGGACAACTCTGAGGTCAAACTGGGTGGAAATCCTTCTTCTCTTATCCCCGAAACATCTCTTGACTCCGTCCACCTCTGTGCTGCAAAGCCCCCTCGCTGGCCTGACTGATGCCCTTTCACATCCCCCACACTTCAGCAGAGGGTTGGTAATAAGCAAGCCTGACCTTGACGTTCTCCACGGCTCTTATCGCACTTGGCATATTGACCAAAGTCTGAAGCCCTGCTTGTGAGAGACTGATCGTCTGACCCAGCTGCCCTCTGGCCTCACCTCTCATCCTCCGCCCACCGTGTCAGGTACGGGGGCCACACTGGGTGTTCTTCAGTACCTAGAATGTCATGCTCCTTCCTACTGCTGCGATCTGTATATGCTGTTCCCTCTTCCTGGATTCTCTCGATCCAGCCCCCGACTGCTTATAAATCCCACCGATTCTTCCGATCTCAGCTTAAAAATCCTATCCCTCGGGGATGACTTCCCTGAGCCCACGAAGCGAGCAAGGGCTTCTTCTCATCACCCCTGAGCTTCCGTACTTCACAATCCTCATCACAGCTGTAATTAACTAACCAGTTGAGTAACTCTCTGTTTATTGTCTGTCTCCCTAGAGGGACGGTGAGCACCACAAAAGCCCCCTCTGTCTGTCTGGTTTGCTGATCTGCCCAGCACAGTGTCGGGCACACACTAGGCACCTCACCAATGCTTGCTGAGTGACTGACAGAGAACTTCCAGCTTCCAGTAATGAACGGCAGGCTAAATGATTTGGGCCCATCCTCGCACTGAAAACAACTGAAAATGCTGGATAACATTTTTTAAAACATTCGAAGCACTGAAGAGTCGGCAGTACCAAAGGGAATTGTCAGGCCCAACTTGGGGGGAACAGGAATCCGGACAGGTAAGCAAGAGGAAAAGCCACTTGTTTTCCTTGAGGCATTGTCTGATACCAACAAATTTGAATTTCATTTTGACGGCCTCATGAAATGAGAGAGACAGAAATCAAACCTCAGGGCTCACACAGGTGGGGCCATGTAATAAGACACCATCCCACATTGATGTGGAACTCCAAAGTGCTACACCCTCAGGATATGGGTGAACCAGAAGTAGACCAGCCCTCACATGATCTTGCAATCTAAGTCTCATCTCCTAGGTGGGCTATCCTCAAAGGTGGGTTAAGGTGGTCCTGAGCTAGTGGTGTTCCTCGATGTTTGGCAAGAGCAAATAAAAGTGCTCTCAGGTGGCAGGTACTGTGGTGATAAATCAAAATTTTTTCTTGCAAACAATTTTTTCTAAAACAATGACCTAAACATAGTCAAAGATCAGACTCACAAGAAAATAAGGCACTAGAGCAAAAACTAGAAGAATCAACAGAAAACAGAAATAGACCCTTACGACGCAAATTATTAACTATGAAAGAACTGTGCATATCACGTTTAAAGAAATATGACATGTTTAAAAGTAATTGCAGGGAATGGGAATCTATGAAAAGTAACATAGCATATCTGCAAAAGAATCAAGTTGATCTCTAGATGTGAAAGCTACAATAACCAAAATTAAGAACTCCATGGACGGGTTTAATAGCTGAGGAAACACAGCTGAGAAGAGAATTAGGAAACTATAAGAGAAGTCAGAAGAAATTAGCACAAATGTAGCACACAGAGACAAAAAGAAGACACGATGGAAGAGATCATATGAGATAAAGAGGAAGAGAAGGTATAACATGTGATTAATATTGTCCCTGATGGAGAGGAGAGAGGAAATGGAGCAGAAGCAATGTTTTAAGGATTAATGGGTAAGAATTTTCTGGAACCAATGAATGAATGTATGAGGGATGCACTGAACCATCTGATGGTTAGTTGTGCTTTGGTAACACAGCTCCGTGTTTCAGACAACCCAGAGTTCAAAGGATACTGATGAGAGATACTGGACCCAGTGTGCTCTTGGCCAAGGGCCATGATGTTGTACAATGCCAAGTTCAATAGAGCAAAAGACACAAGAAACAGGTGAAAAATCAACCTTTGCCTTTCCCCTGCCCCTACAGCTCACCCCTGCCTTCTTAGCAACTATTTGGGCAGCCCTGAGATGACCACAGCTTCAGCCTCCTGTTCCTTCTTCCCTCTTGCAGACCTTGCTGACCAGTCACTGGGAGATAGCAGAACGCCATTCCCTAGGGTCCCTCCACAGTCAACGGGGGGTGCAGTGGCATGGGTGGGTGGGTGTCCTACCCTGATTCGGTACAGACGGTGACCTCCTCCTCCTAGATTCTATGCCTCTTCTCTCCCCTGACCCTGGTCTCCTTGTGGCTGGGCTCCCATCTCAGCCCTCAGGGGTGCTCGACGGAGACTTACTGACTCACTGGCTGATATGGTCTGATCCCGGCTGGGGTGGGGGAATCTGAAAGAGGAGGTGATGCTGGAGTGTCCCTTTGCCATAGCTGAAGAAATCTTGATGATGCCATCACCACCTGAGGGTCCTTCAACCCCAGGCCCCAAGATAAACCAAGGAGCACTGATGTCCCTGATTGAACAGCCCGCCAGCATCACCTGCAACCTGAATGGCAAGGATCTAGAAGCTGGGCTCCAGAGGCAGGAGGAGCAACACCCAACCCTCGATCCTGCAGCCCTCTGGCTTCCAAGCCTGAGCTCTCTTGGGCAGGAAAGAGACCTGGCTGGCAGGTGGGTAGTTTGTTTCTGACTCACCCTCCCCTCTCCGCTGCCAGGTGGCCCGGTCCTGGTCCTCCTTCGTGTGACTCGTCCTGGGATCAGGTTCTTGTGGTTGCTCTGTTCTGCAGGGACACCCATTCATCATCTTGCTTCTGGGAATCTCGGCACACCTCTCAGACACGCTCAAACGGAGAGGCTGCCAAACCTGGGATTGGTCACACAGCAGGTGTGCGGTGAGGCGAGGGCACTTATGGTCTCACGCCTCCGGTGGGTGGGGATGCAGACCCAGCCCTTGCGTAACCATTTCCCCACCCCCAGCAGCAGGTCCCTTCAAACCGCTGTGCTGCGGGGGCGGCCATCCTGAGGCTTGTCTCATGCCGAAAGCAGAAAGAGATCTCTCAGGCCATGATGAGTGAAGACGGGGGATGGGTCGTGCGGGCCCCCTAACCTGGCTCTGCAATGTCTCTGGCATGCCATTCCAATTTCTGAAATTCTCAAAGATGTTCCAAACAACGTGCAGTTGATTTAATTTCAAAAATTAAAAACTCAAGTAAATTAAGTTGAGGAATGTTGGGTGGAGGCAGGGGAGGGGGAGGGTGGCATGGAATACAGCCAGTAAGGAGAGGCTTAGGAACACACGAGCGTTTCACTCCCCTGGGTGGATCTGGGGTTGGAGAGGGTGAAACTCTCCCACTGGATGCGGAGTGTAGGGGCCCAGGTGCAGATCCTGCCCCTGCCCTGGTCTCATCCCTGGTCCTGGCAGACTGGGCTCCTTGGCGAGCACCTGGGCCTCCGGGGAGCCTGGGGTGCAGCCCGGTTGGCGAGTAGAGAACAGGAGAGAGCTGTTCTCCTTTCTAGCTCGGTTTGCACACACCCTGGGCAGTGCTGCCCCACATAATTACATAAACGGCACGTCACTCAGGACGCTCATCTTGCCTCTGACACAATTGGGGCTCGGAGCCCTTGTCCCCAGCTCCCCTCGGTTCGGGGCCTGGCTCGTGACTCACGTGCCTCTCCCTCTGCCAGAAGAGATGCTCCTCAAATAGAGGTCGGGCCGTGGTGCGCTTCGGAATTGCTCTCGGGAGGACCCTTCACCCCTCCTGGGCCTGAAGGCGCCTCCAGCCCAAGGCTCAGAATTGGCGTCGAGGTTGCATGCTCACGGCTCACACCTGTACCCGTGCCCACACCCCATGGCCACCCTCTCCCCAGGGAGTTGCCCCAGACCGGACCTGCCCTCTCTCCTTTCCAGGACCAAGCCCGGCTGACCCGGCTGTGGATGACCCATCCCTGCTTCCCTCCCTTGACAGGTGGCATTCCCTTCCCTCCCTCTTCCCGTGGTGGCGGTGTCCCAGAGGAAGGCTACCTTCCTTCCTCGCCTGCGGGGCTTGCTTGTCAACCCAAATTACCCTCGTGGTGGCATTCCCAGCAGCCAAGGGAGAAGCAGGGTAGGTTCCAGAGCTCTTTCCTACTGGTGGTCCCAGCTCTGGGGAAGGCTTCCTCACCCCTCCAGGACCCCAGGGGCTGCCTTGGTCGTTTGAGCTCAGCCAGGCCGCCCCACAGGGCAGAGGCCAGCCTCCCTCCTCACTTCCTGGGCTCGAGCTGGGTTGGCAAATGGGAACCAGCCGGTTGGCCAAGCGCCGCTATGACCCAGCGGGGAACCGAGGGAGACAAGGGGGGGTGGGGGGTGTCTCCCCTCCGCCGACAGACACACAAGTATACCTTCTACTCCCATCCACCAGTAATGGGGGAGGCAGGGCCACCCTAGTCACTGAGGTCTCAGCCTCCCAAATGGAAAGGAGTTAGTGGGGAGGCCCAGCGGAGCAGGACGGGGTGTCTTTCAGGCTCTGAGGAGGCTGATGCCCCCCAGGTGTGAGAACGCTTGTCCTCACTGACCAGGACCCATCCCCTGGGATTCTGCACTGGTATCAATAATCTTTTACTGCGACAAGCGCAAGGGGCGTTCTTGCCTGCTCTGTGAGAGCAGTGGAGGAGGGTTTGCCCTCCGGCTCAGCCTTCAAGGTCACTGGCAAGAGGGTTGTGCACCCAGGGGGAACTTGTGACGTGTTTCCTAACAAGTGGAAGGTATCCTGGAAAAAAGAAAAATCTAAGCAACGGTGAAAGGACTTCGGTAACTTGGTTGTTCTGGGTACGAGGATTTTGCCCTAAATTATCCAGACGACCGTCTCCTTCCAGGAGAGTTTTCAGGGGCTGGGCGTGGCCTCTGTGCCCACTTTGCCTCCTGCCCTAACACACAGCGATGGCAATCTCCTTACACTGAGCCAAGCGTCTCACAAGCTTTGCCTGTTTACCTTTTACAACAACCGGATGATGTGGGGCTAGTTTTGCATATGTTTTGCATAAAAGGAAACGGAAGCCCAGAGAAACGAAGAGACTCGGTGAGGGCCCCACAGACAGTAAGAGGCAAAGCCAGGAGTTGGTTGGTGCCGGTGCCACAGGCACACCTCCCGTGGCCCGTTCCGATCACAGGATGGGAGAAAGAGGAAACTTCTATTTATCACGCGTGAACAAATTGCTTTCCTCTAGCACCCAGCTCAGCGGTGGGTGCATCGTGCCAGGACAACTGGGCTGGATGCCCCTGCTCAACGAGGACCATTGACCTACTATGTGCCAAGGCTGTGCAGAAGAGCAGTGTGGTCTTCAGCCCACACTCACTGTTACTGGCCCCAGGCGAGCGGCACTTGCAAGGCTCAATTAGACGTATAGTTAAGCAGTACACGCTCCAGTGTCTTCCAATTGTCCTAGGATAAATCCTTTGTCCTGTGGACTCCTGGGTTAAGGCCAATTGAACTGCTGCCAGGTAAGGCTTATTCCCTATAAATCAGTGGGAATGTGGTCACACGAATTTTAACTATCAGATTAAAATCAAATTAGTGGGAAAATTTGGAACAAATTGACTTCAAGTACAGTGAATGAGTCTATTTTTAAAACGTTGCCGCACCAGGCAAAACAGTGAAGCAAACCCATTTCCTGACAGCGCGTAGACACCGTGGTGTTCGGAGTGTTTTGTCATGCTGAGTCACTGTAATTGCTCCAGCAAAGCTGAGGAATCAAATAAAACGTGTTTGCAAATTGTAAGTCACTTGAGGAGGCTACTTCAGACGGGTCCGAACATGACTTTGAAGGCCACAGTGGCTCCCTTTGGGGTAGGCACCCCAGCCCTGACACCCCGCCCCCGTCCACGTTCTCTGGGTAGGGTCTGTGCTGTCGCATCCAGCCGAGATGACTGCCCAGCGTGCCTGCAAGAAGGGCCGCCGTAAATCAGCCATGTTTCCTCACCAGCCAGAGCAGCTCAGATTCCTGGGGGGCACCGGGGACAGGGGAGAGCGCTTAGGTTGGCTGGGGGAAGGGGCGGACTCGCTAAGGCTTCCTTGTCTGGGTAGGGTGGGACCAGGGGCTGCTCAGGAAGGACAGGCTTGCTTTCTGGTGAAAGTCTGGCTGCCATCGCCAAGAAGCAGAATTATTTTCCTATCCAAGAGGGCTTGGGACTGGCCCCGCTTGTTCCCTTTCAACCCTGTCCTGGTCGTCGGGTGACGTGTCCTGGCCCTAGGCCACCACATTTGGTCCCTGATGTTCCCACTCTCGGGCCTGTCTGTCAAAAATGACTTTGCCAGTCATCCTATAGAGACACAAAAGGGGAGACACAAAGGCTGATAGACCTTTACAGCAGAAACGCTGTGGCCCCAGCTGCCCGGCGTCTCTGAGCAGCCCCGGCAGGCTTGGGGCGCGCTGCACTGCCTCGTCCTCCTCTCCCCCGTCTCCCTGGAATCCCACCTTCTCCCTGTACACTCCCCACGAGCATGACCATCTCGTTGGGGCCTGGCTAGACCTGGTGGTAAGCTAATCACTCAGAGGTGTTGAGGATTATCTAGAACTGGATAAATTACCTTTCTTAGGATTCTTGCATTTAAAAATTAACTTTGTAGAAGCAGCAGCTCCCCTAAAGAGGGCCGGCACAGGGGAGCCTTATCTCCGGTGCCCTTGTGTTGCCTCCCAACCCTCAAACCCCTGCTTGGTGGACCTCAGGCCAACCCCACAGACCCCTGCATGAAGAGGAGAGTGTGTGAATGTTTTTTAAAAGAGAGAGATGAGTTGCAGAGAGATCTGTGCTTTCAGACACACGTGTTGAAGACCTGCTGTGGGCCAGACACTGGACGTCCACTGGGGCCAAATACAGCCAGAGGCCAAGAAAGGCAGGATCCCAGGCGAGTCCACGTGATTTGACTCCCAGAGCTCATGGTGACCTTGGGGAGAACAGTTTCCAGTGGGGGTGAGGGTGAAGGTGAGGGTGGAGGGTGGGGACAGCGAAGGAGAAGATGAAGTTCAGAAAGTGGCTCTTTGGGTATGTAAGAAACAAAGGATGTTTGTAAAACACAAACTCCCATCCCAACTTGATGGATATAAGAAAACCACACCTTTAAGTCCGCGCTGGGTGGGGCTCCAAACCATGGTGTGAAAAACGGGGCTATGGAAGACTCTGTCTTGGCTCTGCCTAGAAGAGGCTTCAGAGCAGCAGAAGGTTCTTTTCCTGTGGTTCTCATTCAGCCCCTTCTGTGTCCCACAAGGCCGCCAGGCGGTATGGACCCCTGCTCCCCTAGCAACCATGCCAGCTTCTGAGAGCTCATCTGGTCCTGCCAGAGCTGCCTGCCATTCTGTAATCTAAGGGGAGCCCCTGGGGTTCAGGCCCCACTGAGGTCCCCAACCCCAGTGGGGAACCCACTGTCCTCAGGTATGGGCAGTAGGTTTGGACACAGCTAATGAAGAGAAAGTGCAGCTTTGGGAGACATGCACCTGGGGAGGTCTGTTTCAGATGGGTGGGGTCAGAAGGCTAGAAAAATAAATACAAATAAAAGTGAAGAGAAGCAAAGCTCTTGGGTGCCAGAATGGGGCTGGCCGAGGCTGTGGCTGCCTGGGTAATGGGTTCCACATTTGTCTGGCTCTGTCTACAGTGCCCAGGATCCAGGATGCACCGTGGGCCTTTGAGGGGCTAGAGGGGACAGCCCAGCTGTGGCCAGACCTAGGCACACATGCTTTTTGTGATGGCCTCATCCCTGGTTAGCCACAACGCGGCTGAGACCTTGCTTTAAGCTCACGCTCCAGCACCCCAGCCTCCCCCCGCCCCCGCCCACAGCCCCTGGGTCCCTGCCGGCCTGCACAGATTGTTTGCGTTATTAATGCCGTTTTCCCAGAGATTCCATCTGGCTTTTTAATTGCTCTGGGATGGGGCTAGGATGCTTTGATAGTGAATTGGTATCTTTCCTGTGTCTCTGCTTACGTCAAATCCTCCATCCACAGACAGGGGTATGGGGGAGGGGGAGAAGCAGGGATGTCCAGAGAAGGGAGAGAGCACAAGTCTCTCACAGAGACAAGAAATCTTTCAAAGGTGCTTGTGGTTTAGTTTCGTTTAAAGAACAGAAGAGTAAAGCCTTGCCCTTCCCGCCAGCGTAGGAAAGAAAGAAATGGGATATCGCCTCTGCCCAGGCAAGGATGCTGCCCCGTGTCTGTGGAAGGCCTGAGGGTGCCTGGAAGGTGAGGTTTCATGGCCGAGCAAGGTCTGGGTTTCTGCTCCCCCTTGACCTGTTCCGTGAGTGGCTTCCTGCTTCCTCCCCCCCCCACCCCCACCCCCCCGCCACACTGCCCCCTCTCCTCCCATGAGGAGCTCTTGGAGGAGGCCTGGCAGGTTCCTGCCTGGGAAGGAGGGGGCGGAAGACCTGGGAGGGGCAGACACTCCTCATCAGTCCCAATGGCTCATCACGGGTGTCAGGGCCAAACCCCATGTTCACAGATTCCCAGGAGATCCAAGAGATAAGGGTGACATCGTGACACTGCTCAACCATTAGGAGGCATCTGGTGCAAAGGGGCGCCTCCCTCTCTCCCTTCTGCCCTTGCTCCTTCCCTGGAGGCTGGCTCTCCTGAACAGTGCTTTCAGGGGACAATGGGCTCGAGTGGCCTACTGAGGACGTGAGGTCCCTGTTGCCTCCCATGGGAGAGTACAAGAGAGAGGCATCCAGGCATGTTGGACTTGGTCCGTGGCCAGGTCTTGGTCAAAGCTGCTGCCTCCAGGAAGCCTTCCTTGGTGGCCTCTACTCACACTTTGAACTTCCCCTTATTGCCCTGTCACCCTTGAAGCTCATCTTGGGCCCACAAGGTTGTGCATTTCCCCTGGTACACAGCAGGCATCCAATAAATGCTTGGCGTGTGTTCGGTGCCATGCACTTGAAGTGGGTCTTCATGAAGGCTGCAGTCAGGAGGGGAACCGTGGGGGGCCCTTCAGGAAGCAGTGAGGGGTGAGGAGCCACCCACTTGGGGACCCCTCTGACTGGGCACAGAGCACGTGCTGGGCAGGTTCACCCCATGCTGCCCTCTCCCCGCAAGCAGGCTTCTCTGTCTACTGGGGACCCCACTGGCCCCATCCCTTTCCTGGGGCTGACTTGTCCCCAACAAAGCCTGCCTTGGACCTCAGGATCTGCGGCAGGAGCGTTGCCCTTTTGTGAGCTGACGGCTTTGAAAGAGGAAACCCCTGGAGATGGGATAGTGGGACACGAGGGGGAGGAGTGAGGGCAAGAGGGGTGCCCCTCCCCCACTAGTCTTGGGATCTGTTCTGGGGGCAAAGGGGGAAGCCGAGGCTTGGCCCCCTCAAACAAGAAAAACTGGAATTAGCACTGAACTCAGAGAGGGTTTGCTGGGGCCTAGCAAGCTGTGGCCTGCCCCAGGCCTCTAGGCAGGCGGTGGGGCTCTGCGTCCTTGGTTCCCAGGCGGCGGGGCAGGCTGCCGCCTCCTCACCAGGGCTCGCGGCCTTTCTTCCGCCGAGGGCGGCCATGGGTGTGGAGGAGGCAGGACACCGGACGGGGAGACAGAGGGCGGCCGAGGGGGTGGGGGAGTGGGGCGGGAAGGGGGCAAGTCACCCGGCTAACCACACAGGCAAAAACTTTCAGAATTTGAAAAGAATGTGTAATTTCTTGAAACGGTCACAGCCCACATTGGCGTATACTGTCAGCTGCTCAAGTGAACGCTCTGCAGGGGAAAACAGAAGGTAAAGGGTTTTGCCTTTTACCCTCAGAGAGGGTCAACTCTGAAAGCCCTGCCAGCCTCCTGGGCTACCTGCCCCCAAGGCCCTGGTTTTTCAGGCCTAAGGGCGTGCCCTCCCTTGGTTGGCCATCACCGCTGCTAAGGGGTTTCCGGGTGCCTGTCCTCACGGGGCAGTCATTGGAGTGGGGGGCTTGGTCCAGGGTGGGCACAGTGGGGAGGCACTTGCTGGGGCTGGCTCCTTGCCGGGCAGTAGGTGAGGAAGGGCCGGACATCCGGCGCAGGCCTGCGGTGGGTCCCCCTTCTTGGGTGGGCTGGGGCAGGGCAGGTGAGGAAGGCCGGGTGGAGGGCTCCCTTCAGGGCCCCGCTGGGACAGGCTGCAGCCACATGGGCCGGAGCTAGTGGGGAGGGGTGGACGGTCCTACCGCTTGTGGCCTCTACCTGCCCGCCCACGGCCCCGCCGGAGGGCTGGGGCAAAGGAAGGTGTGAGCGGCGCTGCTCCTGAGCTGGGGCTGTCGGTGATCTGGAAGTAAGTGTGGTCAAAGGGCCCCTGGAGCCTGGAACCCTGGGGCAGGCCTGCCCGAGTCCCAGAGAGGCCGTGGCAGCTTCAGGCAGAGGGCCCCCCCTTCGAGTCCCTCTCCTCCTCCCAGGGGCCGATGAGAGGCCACACCAAGGCCCCATGACACCCCACACGCCCCTCCCCCTGCCACACACCCAGAGACTCTTCAGGCCTCGGCCTTCTCTGCTCGGAGCCTCGTCCTCCTTTGGGCATTTATTTGCCTTGCTTGGGAGAAGTCACCCCTTTACTGTAGAGAGGGGCTCAGGATGGGTGGAGAGCTAATGAGAGTCAGGCTCGCAGCCAGAGAACATGCTGTGATCATTTACAAATGTGACCTGGCCCACAGAAAACCCTGGAAGTAGCTTTTCTGGTTTTAAAAAGACACCAAAACTGACTTTGATATGTTTATATTATAGATATAATACATAAAACATCTAGCATGAAACTCTATGGTCTCCCCAAAGAAGAGAACCAAGCCAGTCTTCCCTGCTCCCAGGCCCAGCGATCTGATCTGTGAGTGCTGGCTGAGGACGCCTCCCTTCCAGACCGGGAGCCAGGGCCTCTGCGGGGGACAAAGCTGTGGGCAGCCCGGGCTGGAGGGGACCGAGGCCCACAGCCACCCCCAGGGAAAGCTGAGGGGAAAGGGGAGGCCCACCTCACCTCTTCGGTTCCCCTGGGAGCAAAAGCAATCCCAAAACCAAAAGGCAAGAGAGCCGCAGACCCTCCCTGCAGCGGCTGACGGAGAGTCTCATTTTGGCAAGTATCTGAGCAAAACCAAAACAAAACAAAAACCAAATAAAATGGTGGTTTAGCATAGACGTGCACATGCACATTGCACAAGGCACCGCTGGGACACAGAGAGGCCAGATACAAGTGTTGATACCGGCTGATAAAGCAAAATATTTGGAAAGCTTCTCATAACTTCGGTCCCTCTGGGATGGACAGATTGTGCTTCATGTTTGTATGGCAACGCTGGCGACATACAGTACAGACAAGGCTGATGGTCCCAGTGTCCCTTCACCACCCCCCTGCTAACCCCTAGACCAGATCTCTAGGTTCCCCTCTCCCACCAGGCCACCACTCCCATGAACATACGTCCTCATACCTAACCCACGACCTGGCTTTCTGATCTGACTGGGGGCGGGAGGCTCCCACTGGTCACCTGGTGACGCCCATCTCAGTGAGTTCTGCCCAGAAGAGCCCAGCCTGTTGCAGGCTGGGAGTTTAGAGGCAAGGAACTAGGGACCCTCCACCTTCATGTAGAACTAGGGGAACAACCTTAGGTTCAAAGCCCCAAGTCCCTGTGTTTCCTCCCCTCCAAGGATAGGCGCTCAGGAGCGGCTGGGGCCGGCTTATCGGGATCTCTGCTCCCTGAACCTTCCTCCTGCCGGGGGTTGGGGGGGGGCCTGCACCCCTTCTTCTCTCGCGAGGTCAGGAACCCTCCAAATAAAATGACAAGGCACATATTTGCTCCCCCTACTCGGTAGGAATCGGAGCCGTGAGTTTGCGTTTCCAAGGCACAGGGTTATTCCTTTAATACTAGAGTTGCCGGGCTCCCGGCTCTGCCCCACGGCGCTTCTCCTCTCTGTCTGACCCCTCATCTTAGACGCACCGTGTCGGGCGCAGAGGAAGGCCAGGGGTACGCGCGGCAGGCCAGGCTCTCAGGCTGCACCGGAATCTCCTAGTCCTGGCTTGCGCGGCTCGGGCAGTCTTGAGATCCGGCGACCCGAAACCACTCCCTGGGTCTCAGCCAGCGGCCGGCCCAGGGCGGTCCCGCCGCCGCGCGCCTCACGCGCAGTTGCCCATGGCCTTGACCAGGGAGCTCTCAGGCAGCTGGCGGAAGATGCCCCGCAGCGTGTCCAGTTCGCGGCTCAGTTGTTCCACCCGCTTGCGCAGGCGGTCATTGTCACTGGTCAGCTCCAGCACCTTCTGCTGCGTCTCCACGTTGCGCTGCTTGGCCTTGTCCCGGCTCTTGCGCACCGCGATGTTGTTGCGCTCGCGCCGCACCCGGTACTCGTTGCTGTTCTTGTCCACGGACTTCTTGCCTTTGCCCGCGCCGCCGCCGCCGCCGCCGCCGCCGCCCGCGCGGATGTCTGGGTGCCCGACGGCCAGCCCCTTGAGCGCGCCGCCGGGGCCTGGCAGGCCAGCGGCGCCGAGCGCGGGCGCTGGGTGCGGGCTGGGCACGGGCGTGGGCGGCGGCGTGGGGTGGCCGGGCTGCAGGTGCATGGTGGTCTGGCCGCAGTGCGCGATCTGGAACTGCAGGTGCGGGGCGGCCAGGTGAGCGGGCGGCGGGTGTGAGTGCTGTGGTGGCGGCGGCGGCGGAGGCTGGTAGGGAAAGAGGCCGGCCAGCGCCAGCTGCTTCGCCTCGTCCTCCTCGCGCGGCTCCTGCTTGATCACCAGCGGCCGTAGAGCCGGCGCCCCGACGCGCTCGTACAGGGGTTCCAGCCTGCCGTCCAGGTAGCCGGCCGCCGAGCAGCCGTAGCCGGGCGGGGGGCCGTGCGCCCCTCCGGGCATGACGGCGCCGCCGGGGCCCACGGGGGCGCCCGGGTAGTCAAAGTCGCCGCCGCCTCCTGCGGGGGCCGCGGCCGCCTTGGCCTTCTCCTGCTGCCGGCTGTGCTGGAACAGGTCGGCCAGGAACTCGTCGTTGAAGGCGGCCGGGTCGATGTAGGCGCTGATGTCGATGGACGTCTCGTGTTCGCAGATGCCGCCCAGCGGCTCCGGGGCGGCAGGTGGGGCTGGGGGCTGCGCGGGACCCGCGCCCCGGAGAAAGCCGAAAGCGGCGCTGCTGGGCGCGTGCGGGGGGCTCTGGAGGTGGCTGCTCATCGGGGGCCGCGGCTCCGCCTCGTAGAAGTCGGCCGACTCCATGGGGGAGCTAAAGTCCTCCCGGCATGGCGAGCCTCGGCGGCCTCCAGCCTGCGCGGGGCGCCGCTGCTGCCGCCGCCCACCCGGAGGCCCTACTCGCTCGCGCCCGCTCAGCTCCCGGTCGCGAATGGCCAGGCCCGCGCGGGCCCAGCATTTATACCGGGTTGGTGGTCGCCCTCTAGTGTCCAAACCCGCCGTGGACCTTCGGCGACGACGGAGCAGCACCTCCTGGGTCTTAGCGCCTGCGGTCTTCAGAGGGCGGCGAGTGAGGCTAGAGCGCAGCGCTGGCGGGGAGGGGCCGCGGTGCAACGCCCACTACCTCCTGAGCCGCCAGCCGAACCACGACCGGCGCGCGGTGCCCCACCCTCGGCAGAGTTGTCGTCCCCGCGCACACGTGGTCGGTGGCAGGGCCCCCTCCTCTAGCCTCCGCAGGGCACCCAACTCCAGCAAACGGTCGGGGAGTCCGGGAGCACCCAGGCGCCGCGCACGGGGGTGGGATTGGTTGGGGGTGGGGTGGGGTGGGCAAGTCTTCGTCTCTGAGCTTCTCTGGCGCAGACTCGCTTTAAAAGCTAGAACTAGTCCTGTCCGGGTCCGGGCTCTCCGGAAGGCGGCGGCGTAGAGAAGGGGTGGGGGGCAGCTTGGGACGTGCGGCCCAGCGCACACTGCCTCGTGGAGAGGCCGAGGGCAGAGGCCCGGAGCGCGGGGATTTTGCGACTCTCTCTGATCTCCAGGCGTCCTCACCGACTCCGCGCAAAAGTACCTCTCCCCCGCTCCGCCCCTCCCAGTACTCCGGGGTCCCACGGCCCCGCAGTGCAGGGCGCTAGGACCCCGCGGGGAGCGGAGGGAAGGAGAGGCGGCCGCGGCCGGGCTGAGGACCCGGCTGGTCCACCCGCCTGGGCTGGAAAACCTTTTCTTTTTGATTACTTCTCCTAGCTGGAGCTCTAGGTGTTGCTACGTGCACGGAGTTGGCGCTGCTACCCGGCGCGGGGCCGCCAACTTTTTCCTGCGGGACGGGCCGAACTGGATTCCCCGGCTGGGGTGCCGGGGCGAGGGGGGACGCACAGAGGGAGGAGGCGAATTTGGCTCCCAGACGGGGATCCCGAAGCGGGGCCGGCGGTCAACGGCGCTGGAATCCACAGCCTTCTCCCCTACGCCCCATTCAGGTGCTCTCCAAGGCGGGAGCAGGGGTGTCGAGGGAGCCGGGGCCTGCTAGTCTCTGCGGCCCAGGGTCCGAGCACCTAATGAGAGAACCCTGCAGGGTGGTTCGCGGGGCGCTGGGTCCCCGGAATCCTGGGGAACAAGGCGGTCCGGCCCCGGTGACCCCTGGGCGCCACGCCGCCTCCGCACTCGCTGCTGCCGGAGGAAGGGGTTCAAGGCAGCGCTTTCCCCAGCCACGTGGCGCCTCGCGCGTTCTGCTTCGGGATCGCGGGGACAGCCGGCTCCCAAGGGGCCTCGTGGGCCCGCAAGTCGCCCACGCCTGTACCCCCCCATTGCCCCTTACGGACTAAGTGCCCTGAAGCCCAACGCCGCCTGGATGCTGTTTGGAAGTTTGCCTGCTTGAGAATCGCCGGGCTGCGCTGGTCAAGACCCCTCCCGGACAGCGGCCTTCAAAAGGCTGGCAAGACGCCACAACCGGCCCAGGAGCCCTCAAGGAGGCGCAGCGTAAAAGCAAGGCCCGGGGAGGCTGAGCTTCCACTGTGGTCACATTAAAGAAGCAACGTCGTCTGGGGGAACGCCTACTGTGCTTTAATCAAGTTCCTATTCAACGTATTCCCGATGATTAATGGCTCAACGGCTTCATGCTTTGGTCCAGAGCTTGATGGTTTTGGACTGGAGTAGAAGTAGATACATTAAATAAATAGCCCGTGTGAGCTGGGGAGCTACTCTCTGGGCCCGGGTGTAGGGCCATTTATACACCATGCACCTGTGGACACCCGGAGGGAAACCCAAAAACATGGCATTGGGATTTGTATTTTTGCTGCAGTGCTAAAAATAACGGTCTGCTCCAGTGCGGGAACAAAGAAAGGGCTACGGAAAGCGACCTGTTCTAGCGTGTACACCTGCTCTCCTGCGCAGGCAGCAGGAAGGTCTCCTCTTAGGATCCGAGGAAACCGCAGAGGCTCCTGGGGCTGGGGAAGTATTGGAATAAGGCCTTGTCCAGCCTGCAGCTGCAGGTCCTCCCATAGCAGAAGCGGAAAGCTCCCCACGAGGCCAGCTCTGTGCAAGGTGCCTAGTGCCCAGAGGTGAGTGAGAAGTGGCCCCTGCCTTCTCAGAGCTCTGGGCACAGCTGGGGAGACAGACAGGTTATCACACAAAATCTGCTGAGAGAAAAGGGCCTCCTCACAGAGGAGGTGATGCTGAAGGAGCAGGAAATGGAACTGGGTAGAGGCATGGAGTCCATTAATTCATCAAATGTCTGTTAGGAGACACAAATGCGGATGAAGGATGAATGTGCTGTGACAAAGGGATGTCCTGCTCTAGCAAATATGGCTTTGGAGGAGGGTGTAACCAACTTCGTCTGAGGAGGTGCTATGGGCTAAATTGTGTCCTCCTCAAATTCATATGTTGAAGCCATGACCCCTAACGTAACTATATTTGGAGATGGAGTTTTCAGGAGGTAATTAAGGTTCAATAAAGTCATAAGGATGGGGTCCTAATCTGATTAGGATTGGTGGGCTTATAGGAAGAGGACAAGAGGGAGATTCTCTCTCCCTCTGCCCCATGTGAGGACATAGGGAGAAGGTGGCGTCCGCAAGCCAGGAAGGAAGCCCTCACAAGAACCTGACCATGCTGGCGCCCTGCTCTCAGACTTCCAGCCTCCAGAACTGCGAGAAAACTCACTTCTGTTGTTTAAGCGCCCAGTCTGTGGCATTTTGTCATGGCAGCTTGAGCTGACTGAGATAGGAGATTGGAGAGGGCTTCATGCAGGAGTGGACCTTTGAGCCCCAGCTTGAAGGATGAGCAGGAATTGGCTAGAAGGATAGGTGCAGTTTGCAGAATGGCAGGTGCAAAGGTGGAGCAGCTGCAAGTGCAAGGCATGTTCTGGTAACAAAGGACAAGGCGTTTGACGGGCTGGAGCGCAGGGATTGCTGAGGAGGGGCCTAGATAAGGCTGGATCCACAGACAGGGCTTGGTTCATGGCCAAGGCGGCTCCAGGTGAAGGAGAGAGAGCCTCTCAGGCTTTTGCCATCCAGCTTTTAGCAGGGGAGTGCTGTGATCCAATCTGGGTTCCTGAAAGGCCACTCTGGTAGGGGCTGGAGAGGGGAGGGTGGATCAGATGAGAAGCAGTGGAGGCCTGAGGCCCCAGGATGGGGGACAGAGGGCAGGGATGGGTTTGAATGAGATGTCAGGGCTTGGGAGTCTGGGTGGGGGCTGAATGCCTGGCTTCTGGCTGGGGTCACCATCCCCCAACATATGTGATGCAGGGAAAATAGAGGGTCCCCTCCAAGCCCCTGGGGGTCATGGGGTCTCACCACCCACAGGACACCCCCTGCGTGATTTGCGATTCTGCAGGAGAGGACCATGACCCAAGAACAGCCGCCAGGATCCACCTCCACAGTCTAGTCTTTCCTTTGAGGTCCAAGAGAACACCTTGGGGTGAGGAGGAAGCGGTTTAGAGGGCAAGTAGTGGGTTTGTGTGTGGGCTGCGCAGGGGTGAGGGAGAGTCCTGGGGCCCTCTAAGCCGTGAAACAAGAATGGGCTGCAGAACCTGGGAGAGACCTCAGGGCTGGTGGAGCCACTTTCCCTGGGAGGTGCCCACGGCTGGAAGGGGGCTGTGGCCTGATAGGACACGTGGGCGGCCAGCGTTTGGCTGGGATCACTTGGGAGGAAACTGGCTCTGTGGCTCACGCTCTGTTGAGACAGAGGCAGTAAAAAAAGGAGCTCGTAAATCTGACCACCTTTACGATCCTCCTGCTTCATCTTAATTGACGGTACTTGGCCGTGCTTGAGGAGCGAACAGAGGGAGAGCTTTCTCATAAGCCCTGGCCTCAGTGCGCTCGGCAGGGGGGCACGGGGCAGGGACCCCCAGCTCCGAGGCCACCAGCTCAGCCGGCCTGACTTCTGCCACCGCATGAGCCCGGGGAGAGGAGAAGGCGTGCTCTGGCTCTACTTTTTTTTTTTTTTTTACATCTTTATTGGAGTATAATTGCTTTACAATGGTGTGTTCGTTTCTGCTTTATAACAAAGTGAATCTTTTTGACGAAGGAGAAAATCAGCCACAGAAGTGAAAATGCATTTCGTTGGTGTGAATTATGCCCCGGACAGCTCAGGAGAGAAGGCTGCTGAGCCCGAGGGGGCGGCAGGCCCGGTGGGGAGCGAGTGGGCGGGAGCCCTCCCCTCCGTGAACTGTGGTCCTGAGTTTGGGGTGCTCTGGAATGGAGACTAGTTCCAGAGTCGCTCACAATGCTAACCATTCTGAGAAGACAGAGCGAGGGAGTTTTTATTTGACTTCCTTCAAATAAATTCAACCTTTTGAATCGAAGGTTGAACCTTTTTCAATCCAAGGTTGAACCTTTGATTCAACCTTCCTAATGCAACACATCCAAGAGATTAGTACCTACGTTTGAAAATCAATTGAATTCTGAAGAGCAAAGCTGGAAGGAACGCTTCTGATTTAGTTTTTAACTTTTATCTACAGCTAAATGGATGTAGGATTGGTCACTCCAAAGCAGGACTAGTTAAGGTAATTAATAAGGGCAGATTAAGATAAATGACAAGTATTATATGTTCAGTTTGCCCTCTGGCTAATATAGGATATCTAATAGTGATTCAATAGAATACTCGCAGAGACCTTCCTAAAACTTAGACAAACAAAACGAAACACCGGTTACTTTTTGTCAGTACAAATGCACTGGCTAGTGAGTTTTATACTAATTCGTCTTATGCTTTAGGTATTGACGGGTAAAGCATATGAACTCAGTGGACAGTCAACCAGGAGTCTAGTGTTTCTTACAAACAGATTCTGGGTACTTGGAGAAGACATTCTTATTACCCTGAGATTACGTGTTCTATCTCACAGGAGGTCCGGTGGTGTGTGGGATTCCTCAGACCTGTTAAAACCCCTGCTTCAACATTCGCTAGGGTGACCTTGGGAAAGTTATTGAATTTCTCTGAGCCTTTGTTTTCTTTTCTGTAAATTGGGGGCAATAATTCACTGGAGTGCATTCTCAGCTTGTTCTAGGACAAAGCACTGAGAAGTCACACGGAATGTTACAAGG